TTCCTTTTGTGGTATAAGATATCCAATTGTTATGACCTTAAACATTTTATATTCAAATTACTCTCAGGTTCAGCACTTACAGATTTTATGCCTCAGCTTAAGGGTCTGGATGAAAAGAAATACAACATCATTTGTTTTGATCCAAGAGGCTATGGCAGGAGTCGACCCCCTGATCGAGACTGGCCCTTGCTGTATTTGCAGAGAGATGCTTATGATGCAGCTGCTGTCATGAAGGTTTTCTTTTACTTACTTCCCTATTAACTAAAGTATGAATGATCGGTTTAATGACATAATCTTTGATGACTTTTCTTTTACACAAATCACAAAATCTATTGCTAGCCTCATCATTTCTATCGTAATTGTTCATATTACTTTTGTAACAAAAACAATATATATACGGAGTACGGTACTGCTTAGTTTGCTAAGTAATGGTGGATAATGAAATTAATAATAATAATATTAACAATATATATATGGCGTTTGTATAACGTTTAACCCCAATTAGAGTACACAGGCTCTGAGCACTTTACAATACAACACTAACATATGGCTGGTGGAGTGATGAAACCTCGTAACCCTCAATTTTTCCGAAATTCGTTTTTTTGGCTTAACATCTTCTCCCAGTCCTTCTTCACAATGTGTCAAAAGAACAAGATTAAATTAGTAAGAGAAAGTATGAAAAATACTTAATAAAAAAACCTCGTATGTTTGCCCCCATGATATCCTGGCGTGATGAAACCTCGCAACCCTCACCTGGTGCGCCGATCTGCTTTTGCGTGGTTTCATCACTCCCAGTTTGAGAGAGCGACTTACTTATACGAGGTTCTGGATAAGCCTTCTTTATGAATTAGCTTAATTGAAGCGCTCATAACTGACATTGTCTGGTGCATTTAATGTATCTGACGGAATAAAGAAATATTTCATTCATTCATTCTTCCATACATTCATTCATTCTTTTATTCATTCACTTTATTTCAGTCAGTTCAGAAGTTCAAATATGGTCATAAGAGAAGTACTTACATTGTGTAAATATATTAAAAATCCATTCATAAGGATGACTAACGAGCTGGTAATCAAGATGGTCTCATCGAGCACAAACGTAGTTAACATTTAAGTTAAGGCAACAGTCACACCTTGAAATGACAGGTGACGGTAGTCCTTACTAAGACTAGGTGACAGATCTATGCACTCTCCAGATGTCAACAGGCCTTTCTGTTTATCAAAGAGAGGTTAAGGTTTAGCATTTTCTCAGACTATTTTTAGTTTTAGTAGATGTTTTACGGCGCTCGCAACTGTATAAGGCTATACGAGCGCCACGGGTTGAATGTCAACAGAGAAGTCCTTACAGGGAATCAGACTTACTCTGCTCACCTCTCTAGCTTCAGCAGCAAAAAGGCTGCTTCGACTACATGTATCAAGGTACCCCGGAAATAGCGAGTCACAAGAGTGTGACAAACATGCAAAAGAAGTAGAGGAAAATGACGATAGTAAGGATTAGGACAGATAAAGCAGCAGTTCTCTGTTGTAGTTCAGGCACAGTTATGAGCATGACATTGTTAGATCAGCCCATTTACAATTCTACTGTTCACTAGAACGAAAAATGTCCCCCCCCCCCCCCCAATTTGGGAATGGCCTGAAGACACTTCAGTCAGTGGCACTGCCCCGGGGGAGTCTCAGACTATGAATCCGCTGTGTAGTCGAATCCTCCAGTTGTGATTGAGGGCGATTAGTGCTGAACTTAACCGTGGTCTTGATGACTATGAAGTCTTTAGAGGACATTGTGACAAATTTGTGCCTCAACAACACAAGTAATACGGACATTTCCGAATCTGTATTGAATATCTCCTTTTAACTGTGCTCATCACCTAGATCTTTATACCCTACAAAGGCTGGTTTGGAAACCACTGAGCAGACCACATTCAATAAATTGACCCCAGCCACCATGTCGTAGTCCTTTCCAGGGCTGTCCCTGATATGTGTAGACAAGGAAATATCAGTATCATCCCAGACTGAGTCTGCACCAACAATAGTGTCGCCTGGAATCATACCCCAAACAAAACTGACGTTTCACCAGGCAGCTGTAAGTCAGATGTTGAATTATTACCTTCGAGGTCACAGCAACACAATCTGTAGACCATATTCAGGTACATTAGCCACTTTTCCTGGAGCCTGATCCCGAGACACAGCTCATTTGTGATGCCAGCATAAATGATGCTCCACAGAGGAAAAGAAAGAGTTTTTAGGAGTGGCAACAAATAAGCGAAAAGCTTTCTGTGGATCAGGACAGGATTGGAATACATAATGGTTCAATGAAAAGCCCATCTAAGTTATTGAAACCAAACTGTGATTGCAAGAGCCGGACTCTGAAATGTAAAGGGCTCTCTGAAGTTGATAGACATTCTAATTTTGATTTAGTGTGGACCCTCTCATGGGATGACTAGTGGACCTCGGAGGAGGTATTCAGAGACCTACCAGAGAGGGAATACTTTCAATAAACACTTTTAAAAGGTGGCCTAAGGTGCCAGTGTGCTCAAAAATGTTCCTGAATTGAACTGGGTTGGATGAATGATTTGTAAGAAACATTTAGAACTAATAATTTTCAAAGCAACTCAGATATCTACAAAATATATGCACAAGTCTGCCAAGACCACGGGAGGCGGCCTTTCAACAGACCCGGCCTCGATGAAGCATTCAAGCAGAATAACCTGTCGCTATTCCTGTCAACGATAGATATGTGCGACCTTTGATTCAGTCGTGAAGTTGACAATGTGCTGGAGGATCTTTGGAATGCTCACATTCTAGAAAAGGAAGCAGCGGGCAAAGAAAAGGAACGAGCTAAATCTGAAGCCATCAAATCTCTCGCCAGTAATGAACCTAAAACGACCGTACTTTCAATGGATCTTCAGCATCAGCCTTACATTACAAAACGAAACTCGCTGTTCATAGCTTTACGCTATTGGATGCTGCAACACGTCAGACTACTTGTTACGTGTGTCATGAAACAGAAGGGGGACTTATGGCAAATGAGTTAGCTTCATGTCTATTGGAATTCCTGAAGGAAAAGCTGGACTTCCAGAAAACCCTTATCGACAGCGACAACTGTGGTTACCGATAGAGAAATGTCACACTAGCCAATGTTTCTCTCAGCCTTTTTTCAACAACACACGGAAGCACAATTGAACAGATAAACTTTTTATCAAATGACACACACAAATGGAAATTAACAGTGTGAATTCAACTATTACTATTAAGGGATCGCTTCGAAAAACACGCATCGAGCTCCTCCAAGACTACCTCCATTTCTTCATGATGGCAAGAGCAAAACAAGAAACTTATCAAAGCAAATATTTGGATCACACATTCTTCAAGGAGTATTCTAAGTGTGGAAGCTACGACAAGTCTATAAGACTAGGTAGAAAAACGGGTGATCCTGTTGTCAGGTGTTTGAAATACATCCCAGACATGAACATCCAGTTCAAAATGCACCTGAAGGATGAATGGGCTGCCGTTCCGAAGGCTGGACACAGAAACATAAGGTCCATCCTACCTCGCCACTCTACACAAAACGTTTAAGTTCCAGCACTTCAAGTACAATCACCTACAGGTGTTTAAATCTGTTATTGCCAATATGCATCGTCACTTCATGACAATTTATACCATTAACATTAATGGTTGTTCATTATGATTCAACATCTTTTATGAAAACCACCTGAAGTGCAAACAGAGACCATATTGCAGAGATTTATTATTAATTTGTGCTTTTTAGCAAAAATGGAAGTAAGCAGATCTAATCTTGGCAAATTATAGTGAAACAAATTGCATTAATTGCAATCCGTTTGAGGATTGAAACATAAATTCTGCAGGTAACGCACATTTATTTGACTTCAGTTGGCCGGGAATCGAACTCCAAACCAGTTGGTTTAGAATAAACATCTTTATCACTTTGTGGCGTTTCAAACAACAGACGCATACTGCAACCAAAATGAGCAGTGAGAAAACTCGCAACCCTCAAACTCTGTCCTGATGAAACCTCGCAACCCTCCCGCCGGCTGACTACGAGGTTTCATCACGACAAAAATGTTGTAATGAAACCTCGCATCCCACAGCATAACCACATAAACAATATAAAAGTTATTTTTATATGCTAACCACGTTTCTAACGTGTTTTTATCTATCTGTACCAACTTTGGTTTCTATAGGTCATTTTATTCAAGAGTAAATCAGTTTTTTGTCTCTCCTGTAAAATTTTCCTCTCTGGGGTTACGAGGTTTCATCACTCCACCAGCGTATAATAATCAGTGCATTTTGTTCTGACCAAAAGAAAATCTCTCTCTAAATATTTTATATTTTATTAATTTTAGAACAGAAATGACTTTAGCTGACATTTGAGAATGAATTAAAAGGTTTGATCTCTCTTAGAAAACTGGGCAAAGAATTCCTGATCTTGGGGCTTTGATATTCGGTACCTCTGGGACTTTTCGCCCTTATAGGAGAAGACAAAGTGAAAATATAATAACCTAACAATAACATTAAAATAAAATCCAGCTGTTCAACATAATGATGACCTTACTTCTGGGTCGTACTTTTCTCCATTATTGAATGCACAGAGAATAGCACCATCTGCTCCAAAGACCACTACATTTACTTCCATCCGTCAGTGTTTCCCAATCTTGTGAGCTTCTTTCAAGATTGCTCCCCCCCCCCCCCCCCCCCCCCCCCCAGTGCCAGGGATTTAAGTGGACAATGAGGAGAGTATCTAAAATTATGGGGAAAAATACAGACCTCAAAGGCACTGATAATGTTCTTTACTTTTCTTTTTAATTGTATTTGAAGGCCTTGGATATTCATCGTTACTCTGTGCTGGGCTGGAGTGATGGAGGCATCACAGGAATGATTCTGGCAGCTGCCTTCCCTGGCAATGTACAGCGCCTGCTCATTTGGGGTTCTAATGCTTACATCACAGAAGATGATATGAAATTGTTTAAGAGTATGTCAAACCTCTTATTCTAGATTTTTTGTTGAAACCCTTGCCTTACCTTGAGTTTATTTTAAGGGTGACCCAAGGACTACTATACTCAAGGACGTGCACAGTCGGATTCCTGACTTGGCTAGCGAAGGCCATCGCGTCAAACACTCCGGATATTCCCATTCTGACCCAATGCCTTATCTTTAGCTTTGACGCGTCCGTAGGAATCGGGAACTATTTATCGCCTTTGAAGTAGAATGAATCCTATCTGTAGAATTCGTTGATCTTAATAAAAATGATGCAGAAATGAATCAGATATTGAAAGGTGTCAATATTTTTATTTTTGATAAAGATTCCAAGCAAAGAAATGTAAGCATAATTATGGACACCATTTATCCGCGTAAGCGCATCCTTCCGGAAAGAAGTGCAGTGATCAATGTTCACGATTCAAGTGTTGTTCCTCTCCTCATGTTTCTCGGAGTGTTTTTGTTAATTCTGTGGATTATTGTGAATTAATCGGCCCGTCAATGCTCAAGGATAGTTTGATTTCACCATACCGAATAAATGTAGGGTTGTAAACTGCAAAGGTAACTACAATAAAGACAATAAATGTCGAGTGTTCAAGGTACCGAAAGAAGGACTTGAGAGACAAAGATGGCTTTCTGTTTTACCCCCTCGTGAAAACTTCTCTCTAGATCCAGACAAATTCTTTATCTGTGAAATGCATTGGCCATCAGATTATCCTGTAATTAAATTACCTGGAGGATACACTCAACCAGTAGATCCGTCGAGTTTATTTGATGTTCCCTCGTCTTGCCTACCAACGCCAAAACCACCCCCTCGTCCACCCAGACAAGAAGATCAGCAACTCCGTCATTTCATGAAAAAAGACAAAATCTGTAGCCTTTCAGAATTTTCTCCAGAAAAGGAACTCCACAAGAAATATATGACAATTTAATTCTTTCAAGAACAGAGGACAGATTTGTTTGCCATGTTCATGACCGAGTATTGTGAAGAGTGTGTTTTATCAGTAGTTGTTGAGAATAAACCAACATTGTGCTCCCCTCTTACACTCACCGCATTCAAGAAAGGATCCAGAGTTCCCTTGGGAAAAATATTAAATCCAAATAACGGATTGAATTCCTACACCCAATTTTTTGAGTGTGTGCACGTCGCCATAAACTATAGAGTTCCTTTGGATTTTGTGCTTGAGAGAGTTGTGGAAGTATTGGAACAATCACGTTGCACAGAACTTGAAGACCCAAAGGTAAGATCCTAGTATACTGGACCAGTAGTGTAGGATTAAGTTTTAAAAAATAATTTAAAAATAATGTCGATCCTTGCTTTGCAGTAGGCCTACATATAATCCAGTGGTTTAAAAAAAAAATTTTTTTTTCTTTTTCCTACCGATAAAATCTCGTACCTAGACAGTTGATGTTTACAATTTCAATTAGTAAATCTAGATCTAGATCTAATCAACAAATTTTGAAGGACTGGAGTAAACTAAGGTAAAGTTAAGATCTTGATTTCTTGTAATTTGTAATTGCCTAGTGGTCCAGTAAACTAGAATCTTTCTATTATTTTGTTCTTTTATTCAGGAAAAGAAAAGGGAAAGAAAGCTAGACTTTATAACTCATCAGCTGAAACTGTTGACTCACAAACAATTTTCTGTAAGTGATTACTGTTTTGCTATCGAATCGTTTCCCCGTTGCAGTTATCAACAACTAAGAGACATTTTGGTCTTGCCAAGCACAAGAAAAATAAAACCACGCGACTTACATATGCCTCTATCAACCCGTCTAAACTACGACTTCAAAATGTGCAACATGTATTAAGAATTTTCAATGAAAAGGTTATTGCTGGGCTGGCACTGCAAGGGTGTTATTCCACTGCAGAGTTCATTCAGTTTGTTCTAAACTGGTGGTATACTGTAAATGTATCTGCCAAGGGACAGGACATTCGTATGAAGGACCCACACAGAGCTGCTCAGGTGTTAACGTCTGATAGTCTGGACACGTATGCCAAGAAGTTTGAAGAATCAATGTCAGTACAGGGAGTGTCTTGAAAGAAATGCCTCACCCACGACACCAAGAAAGCTCTGGTACAAACCATGCGTGGACTCAGTGCCGTGACAAAACACTTATTGTCATCAGGATTTCAATATGTGCTGCTGTGTGAGATACAGAGCGATCGCATTGAAGGCGAATTTTCCGTTTACAGGCAGTCCACCGTGGCCAACGCGTTCATGACAGCAGGAGATGTTATCTCGGCATACAAGAAGCGCCTCGCTAGGCATGCAGCATCTTTTCTCGAGAGTATTGATGTCATAGCTGATGATTCCCCATCAACCTCTGACAAACATCTGTGTTGTGGGCCTTTGGTTGCTGCTGATAGAGAAGTCATTGAGAGTAGCTTCTCAGATGTTACTCTGACTGCCAACGAAGAAAGCTGCTGTGTCTATGTAGCAAGATGGCTGGAGCGAAAATGTATTGATGATAGCACCTACAGCGAAGATGAGCCATTCGTCTCCACAGAAGTGAAGAACTTTTTAGAGGAAGTGTCCAGAGGCTCCCTTAAAACCCCCCATATGTCTATGTATGACCTGACTAGGATTGGACTTTCCTTTGTAAAGAAAGCAAAAAATAGAGTTTGTTGTCGTCAGAGACTTGTTAGAATTCTATCAACCATGGGGGAATTTCACGACTTCGACATCGTTCAGTCCAAGAAACTGCTCAGTCATCTCGCAAATGTCTTACTCCGCGGTCTGCACAATCTAGACAAGGATCACCAAAAGAATGCAGCCCTGCTACAGACATCCATCAAGAAGGCACGTATGGCGGATTGACTTGGTGAGTAAGCCTAATTCTTGTTGTTGTATTCGTTAACATTTTTTAAATGCTCTTCATACTAATATTTCTGCATGACATAATACAAATATAGAAATAACATGTATTACTATGCTACAATATTGCGTTCAACAACATTACAACAGGTTTTAGCTTTCTCACACTCAATATGAAATGTATCTTGTGCCTAGTGATAAGTTTGACATGTTTATATGATGGCCTTCGCTAACCAAGTCAGGAATCCGACGGTGCACGTCCTTGAGTATAGTAGTCCTTGGGGTGACCTTATATTTAGGTCTCATATGGCCTATATTTAGGTAACCCCTCCCCCTACCTAACCGTATTTAGGCCACATATGGCCTATATAAGCTTACCCCCTACCTAACCTTTTTTAGGCCACATATATGGCCTATATATAAAAAAAGATTGAGCCATGTTGACACCCGAGGAAACATGCAGGTAGATCTTTTGACAAAGGAATCTTTGTCCTTTCTATTAAGATCAATGTAGAGCTACACCTTCTCACAGATAGACTTTAAAAAGTGGCTGAAAAGCTACAGCTCCAGTCTGTGAGAGGAACACTAGAGAGAACAAGTGAACAACAAACTCCACAATTCATGCCCAAAATGGGCCCACAAAAGTCTTTCAGGTCTCTCCAAAAGAGACAAAGTTAGTTTAACCGGACTGCACATTGGACATACCCGGTACCTCCCCAATGCACAGATATCTCCTGCAGGAAGAAGAAAAACCATTTTGTGTCGGATGCAAAGCTGACTTTATAATCAGGCCCATCGTTACAGAATGTTCAGACTTTAGAGAGGCCTAAAAAAACATTTTAGACATTAAATGTACTGATGTAAAGAATTTGTTTCCACCATTGATCTCAACAGAATTCTTGATTTAGTAAAGGCTACTGGTCTTTATTCATATATACATAGTGTTATTTTGAAATATTAATTACTGTTTTTAAAACTAAATTTTTTACTATTTTAGATATATTTCAACCATTTTGACTTGCAGAGTAAAAGCAATACATGCTATGAACATATATGGAAACAACCAGTTCTTCTTATATGACTTTAAATGCAGTAGTTGCGAGCACAGTAAAACTTTTACGAAACTAAGAACTGCATATTTGTTAATCTCTGGTGTGTTTGAGATATATCTGTGGTGGGCTGCATATTTATATATGTTGACCCAGTGTAGATGATCTGCTGACTCATGCTGTACTGTTTTTTCCTCAATAAGGCATCGATAATGTTGACAAGTGGAGCCCCCGAATGAGAGAGCCATTTGTTGAAGTCTACGGCCAGTCATATTTCAGACTGCAATGGAAGGCCTGGGTTAATGCCTATGGCAGCTACTTTACCCAAAGAAATGGTGAGTATGAACTCCTCATTTGTTATTCTGATTTTTTTATACCAACACATGCTAGGCGCCAAAGACACATGCGTGTGCCAACAACGTGTGTGTTGGTATGAAATAAGACGGCTGATTGGTTGCATAAGATATAAACGATAGGCTAAGTGAATAATGGTTCATGACACAGGTGCCATGGATGGTTTCCAGGAATAGATAACATTCTTTGTGGGAGAAAAATGAGTGAAGCAATGTCAGAGGGTGCTGTTCACCCTGCAAGCAACTTCATTGAATCCAAGATCGCTCGTTTAGGCCCTGTGTGTTTGTTAAGTTCGAGTTATGTTAATTGATTTTTATGAATGAAAAAAAAGGAGAAATCCAACTCCTTTCATTGAATCTGAGTTTTTAAAAAATCTAAGTTCCACTGTACCAACCTGATTTTCAGGAGTTCATTTGTTAAAATATATATAGACTCTAGACGCCCTACAGCAGAACCTGTATTTGGAGTGACTTTTTAATGCCTTTTGGGGCTTACTCTTATAATCATTATGTAAATAATACAACTTGAAAACAATTCCAAGTCCTTATTAAATTCATTCTAACATTGAATCGAAATGTTTTGCGCTTACTCTTTTGTACACTCTTTCAGTGATGAAATCTTTTGAACTGGAAAATACTTGTACCTGATCCGATAAATAAGTGTTAGTTCAATGGTTATCTGCATGCCAATTCTAATATCGTGCTGTGTCCCAGGTGACATATGTGTTGGTAGCCTTCCAAACATCAAGTGTTCCACTTTGATCGTCAATGGAATCAAGGATCCTCTGGTGCCTCAAGAACACCCACTCTTTCTCCATAAGCATATCCCCAGTTGCAGGTAAGTAAAATGTTTGTGTGTGTGTGTGTGTGTGTGTGTGTGTGTATGTGTGTGTGTGTGTGTGTGTGTGTGTGTGTGCGCATGTGTGTGTAAGTTATTATTGTTAACATGTTTATTTAATACTTTGCAAACACTGTACCGCACTTTGTGTAGGAAAAGCAACCACCACACTTCAAGTTATTTGTTTTTCATGCATTATAGAATTAGAACTAGAATGTTTTCTGTTGGGCACCTTCATCTTTTTTTCATTTTATTTGAGTCCTCTTTGAGTGTCCAAATGGTTTGGTATTCTGATCCTAACCATGTGGAAGATACTCATTTTATGATGAAACTTAAATAGACAGATATAAACAAAGCTTAATATAGAAAACAGCATTTTTCCAAATCATTGACATTTTTTGGTTAACTTGGGGTCTTTCCTCGATTTCCAATGAAAAAGTAGGCCTATCTTTTTTTACCTTATTTACTTTTCAATGTTGAGTCCCAAGGTACTGTACCTTTCTTATATGTGGAATATAAACTTATATTTTTCCTTTTTACAAATTTATCTTACACTTGTTTCATTTGATCTGATTCTGTTGAAGATGGATGTTCCATACCAGGGGTTCCACTTTTGATGTCATACAAGTACAGAAAGTATCACATTCAAACTATATTTGATGCTATATTATATTGTTGAAGTGATACTTTTTCGCATTAATTGCATTTCTTTTTATTTTCCATGAATACATCATACCTCACATGCCATTGTCGTTTAACCTAAGTTTGGGTAAATCAGTTATGTGTTTCCAGCATCATATTGTGTTGCCTAATATGAGGAAGTTTGTATCTTCTTCAGAATGGTCAACTGGCCAGAAGGAAAACACAATCTTCATTTGCGTTATTCTGAAGAATTCAACACTCTTGCCGAGGAATTCCTTGATGAAGAACTCACGTTGCAGCAATAAATATTGACTAGAAAGAGAAATATGTTACTTTGTTCTTTGATTTTGTAATGAATCTAATTACCACTGTTCACAGCATTACAGGAGTATTATTTTTTTACATTTTAATTATATAAATATATATTATATTCAGAGACTTCAAGCCATAACTTCTATTGAAATGACCTACCAGTTTCATTTTGAAAGGAGAATACTGATAATGTTTATATTTGTACTTTCTCACAGACTGACAAACATATTATATACACACACATACACTGACATGTATACACACTCTCACATCCATACCGACCTACCTACCTACCTACCTACCTACCCATAACATTGTCTCCAAGTTGAGGTGGGTGCGGGTGATGTTACACCGATATATTATTTATTAGACACGTAATCTCAGACTCCTGATCGTATAGAACAGGGATCAGCAATTTACAACCCCAGGGCTGCCTATTTCTACCAATTTATCCGGTATTTACCGGTTTTAGATCTGTTCTACCACCAGAACTGAGCTGTCTCTGTCATGATTGTATCCTGAGAGTTTCAAATAGCGCACCCTGTAGTGAAACGGGAAATGCACCATAGTGCATGGCCTAGGTTTTTATAGAACAAGTCTCGGATATAATATAATAATTTTCAAACAATGACCTCGCAGCCAGTGTGAGCCTGTAGAACTAAGATTTAAAACTTGGACAACCGTGTATTGCTGTCTACAGTCCCTTGGGACGCCACAAATTGATGACAGTCCTTGTTCCACTACTTTTATCATATTTCATTTTGAGACGGAATCCAATTTTCTCATCAGTTACTTGAGTTACACTGCTTGAAGAAAAAAACACTTTCATGCATGATTGTTATACAACCTGATATCATAACCATTCAATATGTATTGTCTGCCAACTTTATGAAATAATACATGATGTTTGTAATAATAAGGTAGATCATTTGTATAATAGCACCTACTCCTGTAAACACAGCTCTTGGCATTTTATATAAACTCAAGTAGGCCTACAGTGCAGCCTCTCTATAAAGACCTTTGATATAACGAGATACTCTGTATAGCGACATGGTGCCCAGGTCCCGATTTTTTTCATTATATATCATTAGTAATTTTTGGTTGCCTCTATGTAACGACTACTCTCTATAATGACATTTTTTTCTAGTCCTGACGATGTCGTTATAGAGAGGCGGCACTGCACAAAGAAAATTATCTGAAAAAACTTTGCTCATTTGATTGAAAAAATGAAACAAACATACACGAACACACACAAACACATGCGCGCGCACACACACACACATACATACACACACACACACACACACACACACTCTCTCTCACTCACTCACACACGCACATGTACACACACACATGCATAAACATTATCATGTGACGCACATCATGTTTTTTAAAAATCTACTATCTCTGTCTTTTTGCTAAGACGTGTATCCCACACTGTCTGTAGTTGGCCCCCGTAGCCAGAGTCGAAGCAGACTGCCTAATAATGACTAAATTTTGTCAATGAGGAAGAAATTGCAAATTTAAAAAAAATCATCTTGCCCCTATTGTTTCTGAATGCTAAAAGAATTCTGGATACTTGTACAGAATTATTTGTATGTATGTATTACTAGTATTAGCTAAATTCATCAAAAACAAGTTTATGCCATGGCCATAACTTTTCAACAGTGACAATATGTGTCACGACGCAGTGGAATCAGGCGCTTGTCAATTTTTGGGCATATAGAGTTATTAACACCATCTTAAAACTTGTTCATTTGTCTTGCATTTGACGAAAAAAAAAAAATCCCCCTGTATTTTGAATTGAAGTTGAAATATTTGTGATTGAAGGTGGTTGGGTCGCCTGTTATGAGAGGTAAAACATGGGAGAAAATGGCTACCAAAGTTTGGTGACTTCCAAAGCTTGACAGTCCTTGGAAACTGGAAATTTACATTTTTCGCGCCTTTATTTAATATTTTTCGGTGACATCTACACAGAAATGTGTTTTCAAAAGGACATTAAAGGTGTTGAGACAAAAATTAAAAATTGGAAGAAAAAAATTACCTAATGCCCAGAAAAATGCAGTTTTCTTTGATTTCATTGTTTTGACGAGCGCCTGATTTCACCACGCTGACTCATGTATTTTTCCTTTTTCTAAAGGTCATTTTGCCGAAAAATGAGACTTTTGATATTATGATTATAAGGCATTTGACCTGGAGGTTAAAATAGAAGTTTAGGTTACCGGTATTCCATTATTTGTGAATGTTTATTTCGCCTGTGTTTATTCTTGGTGTGTGTGTACCTAATGCATATATATGTACATATGTATGTACGTGTATGACCACCTGTTGCGAAAAAAAATAAATATCTCACAATTGTAGTAAGATTATTCAGTTCCCAGGATAAAGCAAACTACAGTATAACACGGATAAATTGAATTCGTCGGGACCAGCCTTGGTGGTTCAAGGGATATTTTACAGAGATAAAGGAGAGAAAAAATGTGGGACCGCAGGCACAGTTTGACGTATGCGTGATTTCAAGTCTTCTGGGTTCGACCTATCCATGTTATACAGTATTATTATTTAAGTTTACACTGGAAATATTTGAAAGACTCAATAGTATGGAAGTATGGAGATGTCGACTACATAAAACAATATAACACTACATCATGTATAGTACAGTGGAGTTCACTTATAACGAGTCCGGAAAAAACGAGAAGTCTGTTATAAAGTCACTATTCGAAAACCCCGTTTTTTTTCTCTTCTTTACCTTTGTAAATAAAATACTGCCATAGCGCTATCACTATCAGACAAACATGCGAGTCGGTTATAGCGGAATATTGCTGCTGCTATGCACAGTGCATAGGCCAATTATACATAATGTAAAACCTCGCAGGTTGAGAAACTTGTTGGTGATCTAGCGAAACAAAGAATGGGAGAGCCCACGTGTGTCAACAATAAAGGCTGGAGTGACTGAGTAGGGAGGGTGTGGCATGCGCAGACAAGCAAAACGCATCGCGTGATAGGCCAGCGTAAGCCTAGTTTAGATTATCAAGGCCTACAAT